TCCCTGCTCGGCAGGAAGCCCTGCTTCTCCCTCTCACACTCCCCCTGCTTGAGTTCCCTCTCTCGCTGTCTCTCTCTCTGTGTCAAATAAATAAATAAAATCTTTATAAAATAAATAAGTATTCAAAAAACACAACATTTTCCAAACTTATGTGAATTCTGAACCCTTTTGGGTTACAGAGTCTCTTTTAGCTGTGTCAGGCATTCTAACATCATTTGAGAAATATTGAGTCAAAAGTGTGGACATATTCTTTGTCCTCACTGTAAGCAAAATTTGTGTCAGGAAAGAAGTTGGAGGATATTTTCTTTCTGCCACTTCAACACTTACTGAAAACAAGATCTTTCTGCTTCTATACCATTGCATGCTGGAAGATATGACCTTTGCATTATTTTTACACTGATAGTTCTGTCCTCAGGTTTTCTGGTACTCATCAAATGTCAAAATGAAAAGATACCTGATTTCTTTAAAAATGAATCTAAAGTTCCAGCAAATAAATAAAATATGTAAAGTACATTCAGTTAATATATTTTTGTTAGAACAATGTAGATTTATAGATTAACTATAACCCAATATGATCATTAGTCAGCCACATGTTCTACATAATGCTTTTGGTAAAAATCACTTTTCCTTTATAAGAATTATCCATTGTAATGGTTCTGTGGTATTATTATGTCTCCTCATATTCTTTCTTTGAAATATGTAGAACATAAATGATTTTTAAAAAAAAATACACATTTTCATTATTTCTCTGAAAGTCTGATGTTGTTTAGATCTCCTCTTTCAATCCTAAAAAATAGAGCAGGACAGATTTTACTTCAAAAGTACTGTTTATCTCCGTATCAGAGATAGAAAGGAGAAAGGTAAAAAAGAAGGAAAAGTCGAAGAAGAGCACACTTTGCCAGTGGAATCCCATCTAGCTAAACAGTCTCATCTTTTGCTTCAAAATACCAGTTCTTAAAGTCCTATAGTAAACTGCAAGACCTGCAGGGAGCTCCACAATTCTCAGACTCAGTTTTAAATGACGAAGAAGACAAAATAGAATTAGGAAAGCATACATCCCATGAGCACAAAGGCATGTACTGTATAATGTCCCATTTAACTTCACACACACACACACAAAGATAGCTCTCATTTTGGTTACTGTATTGGTGAGATTTCTTGAAGTCTAATTCACCTGCTTTACTCCCAATCCTTCACCCCAATTCGGTTACTGATTGTGTAAAACTCTTTTTCTTCCAGCTTTATTGAGATATAATTGAATATAACCTTGCATTGGTTAAAGTGTATGACATAGTGATTTGATCTATGTATATACTGCAGGATGAAAATTCTATTTCTTTTTTTTTTTTTTTAAAGATTTTATTTATTTATTTGAGAGAGAGAATGAGAGAGAGAGAGAGCACATGAGAGAGGGGAGGGTCAGAGGGAGAAGCAGACTCCCTGCTGAACAGGGAGCCTGATGCGGGACTCGATCCTGGGATTCCAGGATTATGACCTGGGCCGAAGGCAGTCGCTTAACCAACTGAGCCACCCAGGCGCCCTGAAAACTCTATTTCTAAGTTGCCAATTCTCTACCTCAAAAAGGAGGCCACAACCACTGGCAACTCATATTATCTCGTGATTAGAGTCAGAGAAACTAGAGTAATGAATGTTCTGATTGGCATCTTTGACAGGGACTTTCACAAATATTCCATTACTAAGTTTGAATCAACCTTGGAAACGTCCTGTACACAACATAAGCGGTGGCTGGTAGCCATGACTGTCCTCTCTCAAGATGTAGCAGAGGCTTTATTATGGATAGACTATTCATGTTTTATACCAATAGAGAATTTCCTCATGCAGATAGCAAGTTCTTTCTAGAAGAGTCATTTCATGACTTCCTATAGTTTTTTTTTTTTT